AAGTTTATCAGAACAATTACCATAAAAGTATTCATAGAAAAGGCACAGGGAATCTACGTTGCGGCGGTGGAAAAGTGACTGAAGCCGAGGTGCCAGGTCAGGGCCAATGACATTGCATATTCTTCTTTTGATTTCATCAAGAATCTTTAAATATATAGCGGGAGCACCAAACCAAATGTTGCAGGGATATTCAATGGACAAATGGTAGACTTATAAATTTGTCATTGATATTAAAATATTAAAAATATCATCTTGTCTCCATTAAATTTAGATCGCATAACGACTTTCTTGAACTTTCACTCTTGAGAAACTAAAATATCACTCTTCAACTTCTTATTTTTATCTATTTCTATAGAGAATAATATACCCAAAGTAAAAATGTAATTTTAATATCTTGTGCGCATGTGTGCCTTTGCGCATGCGCCTGTGACAGTATTTCCTTATATCGAAAAGACTATTAATGGTGCCAATAGTTTTTATGAACTCATGTTCAATTGCATTGACAGGCGTTACAGTTTATCATTCAATGAATGTAACGAATTCGAAAAATCTAAGTGTAAACAATTCCATGAAATTTATTCGACATCCGAAGATTTAGGAAGTTTAATATTAAACAAATTGATTAAAGAAAGATTACATTGCAAGAGAAAAACAAAAATTTAAGTAAATTTACGGGATTTTGAGTCTAAAACGGTTCAATAAAGATTAAAAATGTATCCAGTTTCTGCTTAAAAGCAACAAATTCTGACAACACTTCTCCAGTTTCAGTCATTCCTTTTTAATGATATCATTTATATGCAGTAAACTTTTGGCTACGACTCTCTTATTGGCAACGATTTTTCATTTTAGAAGGTTTAATGAAGACCACAGGTTTATTTTAGCCACTTTTTATGACTCTTTTCTCTTTTTTTTCGTATAAGATAACGGATGTTTGGTTTCAATGAATGTAAAACTTGTGTTTTAGCGCTAGAAACTCTCATTGATTATTTTCAAGAACAGGAATTAGATGCTATGGTTTTGAAATTCAAGAAAACTTTGATTAATTTGTTTTAAGTCAGGGCGTTTGCTGTTGAGAACATTCTAAATTTCAATTACGCTTTGACCGAGTTTTTGATATCGTTTGCAAGCCGCTTACAAAATAAGTAAAACCGCTTGAGGTATTGTGTAGATTGAACCTGCATCGTCATTAATTCTTGAATATATATAATAGAGCAACATTTGTAGGCTGAAATGTATTTTATTAATTAAAATATTTTTCAACCTACGAATTTAGTATATTAAATGTAAGAAATTCGTAAACCTTAATATAAATTCGTAAGCTGAAAGATATCTTATTTAATACGCAAAATTCGTAGGCTGAAAGATATTTAATACATTAAATTCGTAAGGCGAAATATATCTTATTTAATACGCCAAATTCACAGCCTGAAATATATTTTTACTGCGCCAATTCGTCGGCTGAAATATATTTTATTTAATACACTAAATTCGTAGATTGAAATATATCTTATTTAATATGCAAAATTCGTAGGCTGAAAAATATCTTGTTTAATACGCAAAATTCATAAGCTGAAATATATTTAATACACCAAATTCGTAAGCTAGGAGATATTTAATACGCAAATTTTATAGGCTGTAAGATATTTAATACACAAAATTCGTTAGCTAAAATATATTATTTATATAAAATGAAATATATTTAATGCACTAAATTCGTAAGGTGAAAGATACATTTAATACAGAAAATTTATAGGCTATAAGGTATTAAATGAACTAAATTCGTAGCTGAAAGATATTTAATATTGTTGGGATTTTCTCGGTCGTGTCTGTGTGTTTGTGTTTGGTAATGTGAGTGAAATGAACAAAAAAAAAAAAAAATCCAAAGCTTGAAAATAACTGTTCAACAGCTTTTATTTGTTTGAAAAAGGAGTGCAAACTAGTAGTAATTTTCGAGGAAGAATGTGGATTTCTCAGTTAACAATGTTCTTGAGTGTAGTAATTGTTTTTGTTGAGAGAAATTTCTCCGTTAGTTCCCACGGGAGGAACGAGAAATCCAAGTGTGAAACTGCTAGGACATGGCTCGTCTTTTGCAGCAAGGGTTGAGTGAATTTTTCTTTGGTGAGTGTTTCGAAGGGAGACTTCTTCTCTCCGCCGGTTCCTGCGGGAGGAACGAGAAATCTAAAGTCAAGTTGCCAAAACAGGTCTCGTCTTTTGCAGCAAAGGTTGCAGCAAAGGTTGCGTGTATCCTTTCGGTAGGTGTTTCGAAGGGAGAGACCATTGAAAGTGAGAAATGAAAAAGAGAGCGGGCTTTGAGTGGCAATTTTCTAGACGTAAACTAGATGCGGCACAAGGCCGAAAGTATGAGGCACCCAGTAAGGATCGACCTCACTACTCAGACGTAATTATTCTAACAAGACAAGCTTGCTAACCATTACACCGCGTCGAGGTGCCCAAGAGGGCCTTGAGTGTAAAGGCCACTAAAGGTGGGAAAGCGACAGCCGTGAGGTAGAGGTCGCTGAAATGGAAGATAAACAAGAGACTGAATAGGGCCCGGTCAAGGTTTTTATGACCTCTGGGACTTCCGGTTGTATCCTGCTGATTATTTCCACTGCTCATTCGACTATAAGTAAGGAAGCCCCCACATGCCACAATAGCCAACAAGTGAAATAGTTTTATAATACACTAAATTCGTAAGCTGAACGATATCTTATTTAATACGCAAAATTCGTAGGTTGAAAAATATTTTTGCTACACCAATTCATAGGCTGAAAATATTGTTACTACACCAATTCGTTGGCTGAAAATATTGTTACTACATCAATTCGTAGGCTGAAAGATATCTTATTTAATATACTAAATTTGTAGATTGAAAGATAATTTATTTAATATCATTTTTTGATTTTTATGATTGTAGCTTCAAGTTTTGTGATTTACTCTCGGCCAGCAGTTGAAACTAAGGCCCGCTCAGTATAGTTGTAGAGTAAACTAGAGGTGGATTTCGTGGGTGTTGAACAAACACAAATGTTCCTGAGCAGGCGTCTGCAATAGGGATTGGCTAGCCGCTCTCTCAGACAGGTATACTCGTAAAGGCGCAGCTAGTCACTACGTGAAGGTACTCATGCAATTGGAGACACAAATATAATCTTATTTAAATTTAGAGCTGAAATGAATTTTATTGCATTTCGGACGCTATTTATAGTTTCATTTCTGATGAAAAACTTTTCATATTCAATGCATAAAGGTCGGACCTTTTTTTATTTGAAATATTTTTCGATTTGCAACATTTCTAATTGGTCACAGAATGTCAATTATATTTATTTATTAAAAAAAAAACGAGTGTTCAGAATATGAGACTAGATAAAGTAATCTGAGGGAGGTAATGAAGTATTTGATACGAGGCTAATATAGAAATACCAAAAAGCTGTTGTCAATAATTGTACGTTCAAGAAAACCTCATCGAAGAAACCAATGATTTGCATGGCTCAGTGCGGATGAATTCAGAGAATACACAAAAAATAGAAAGGGGCGTAAGACAAAGATGTGTCTTCTCACCGGATTTATTAAACCTTTACAACGAGGCGACCCTGAGAGAACTGGAAGTCCTAGCAGGAATTATTACTGAAGGACACAATATTAGCACAATAACATGCAGATGACACAGTGTTGATAACAGACACAGAAATGAAACGACAGGAACTCTTACAGAAGGAGGTAAAGAAAATGAGAAGAAAGGAATAATCATGAATTGTAAGAAGACAGAGTGTATGGTTGTCAGCAAATGGGACAGCCCAAGATCTGAACTACAAATTGGAGATGTCAAAATCAAACAATTATGAAAATGTAAACATCTGGAAATGTTTTAACAGAGGACGGAAAATGTGACACCGACATCCGAAGGTGAATTGGAATAGCGAAACATAGTATAAAAACTAAGCAAAATATTAAGAAACGAGAAAATTTCATTAGAAACAAAAAAAAAAAAAAAAAAAAAAAATCGTATTAAACTGTGTTGTAAGGGAGATTATTTCCTTACAAGTTTGAACTCGGTCGTCGGACAAAAGGCATAAAAATATTCCTACATCAAGAGGGGTAGCAGGAGGATCAGTAGCCTTTTCTAAAAACTGTTAGTCATTCACGGCTAAAAATGTTCTTTTACTACTTCCTTACATTATGTTTCCTTGTATCGAAAGATAATAAACTTATTGTTAAACCAATTCCGGTTTTCTACTGTTGTTTTTTTATAACTCAGTTACAGCAAAGTGTTATACCAGTCCTTCTCCATGAGATGAAGAAAAGACGAGACAACAGAAATATGGTTCTAGTGAAGGATGCTGAGAATCCCGTGTACTGAAGATGTAAGCAAGAGGTTTTAGAGAAAGTAGAAACAAAAAGGACACTAATATTTAGAATTAGAAAAATACAGCTGACATAGCTAGGATGTATAATGGGGAAAGAGGGCTTGGAGAATCTGACACTTACAGGAGTGACGGGGGAAGCGGCGAGTAATCTACTTATTGAGCTTTCTTAATGAAAGGCAAAACAAACAAAACAAAAAAGCAAAGAAAAAAGGATTGGGACAGATAGTGAGAAGGCATCTCTTACCAAGAGTTAGAAACGATATGAAGTGGTCGAGAGCCATGATCATCCACGTCCTAAAGGAACACGGCAAAAATGCAAAAAAAAAAAAAATTGAAACAAAAAAAGAAAAAAAATACCCCCCCCCCAAAAAAAAAAACTGGTTTCGAAGAATCGTGGATATTTATTTAATTATTATAAAAATATTTATTTGATTAGAATTATTTCATTTTTTTTTTCTATTTTGTATAGTTAGAATCCAAAGAGTTAGAATTTACAAAAAAATATTGATTCTGTGCCGGAGCGAAATGGCAGCATTTTAGCCGTTTCTCGTTTGTGTTGACGGAAATTGAACGTCCGGTTGAGATTCCTAATCTAACTATTTTTTTTTCTCTTTTTGCATGCCAACTTCCTGTCTATTACGAATGCTTTTCCGCCTCCACCTATTTTATTTTTCCTTGTCGCCATCAAATTTCACCTTGGCCCAGAAGCGCAATTTTATGGCCAGGGCGTCGATGATTTGTCCAATATACAACACTTGCTCATTACATGTGATGCCAGAGCGTTCCCTCATGTCTGCAGCCTGATCGACGCGCTTAAGATGCTTTTTTGTTAAATTCACATAAAACAAATGGCCAAATATTACTGTTTGACTTATGGGGACGAGCATTTCTCAATACTGTTTATTTTTTTTTCATTTTCCTTCTTTCCTTTTGACCCCTCGCCTTTTCTAATCTTTATTTCCATTTCTGTTTCTTTTTTTTAAGTTTTCTTTTTATTTTCCAATTCTTTCTTTCTTTCGTTAAATTTTCATTTACTTTTTTAGTTTCTAATTATTTCTTTCTTTCAGTTTTCCTTTTCTTTTTTCCAATTCTTTCTTTCTTTCTTTACATTTTCATTTACTTTTTTTAGTTTCTAATTATTTCTTTCTTTCAGTTTTCCTTTTCTTTTTTCCAATTCTTTCTTTCTTTCTTTACATTTTCATTTACTTTTTTTAGTTTCTAATTATTTCTTTCTTTCAGTTTTCCTTTTCTTTTTTCCAATTCTTTCTTTCTTTCTTTACATTTTCCTTTTCTTTTTAGTTTTCAATTATTTCAATTTTCCTTTTCTTTCTTTCTTTCTTTCTTTCTTTCTTTCTTTCTTTCTTTCTTTCTTTCTTTCTTTCAATTTTCGTTTTCTTTTTACCTTCGGGGCTTACGGCCATATCACAAGGAAACACCGGTTCTCGTTCGATCAACGAAATTAAGCAGTGTCGAGTCTGATCAGCATCTAGTCGGGTTTGTTATATTTACTTACGAGCAAATACCTTTCATCTCCCCCCCAGATATGGGTTAATTAGTAGAACTTGTATCAGTAAAAATAATACTCCCCACAAATTGTTAGAATCCGAAAATGTTTTCTGGCTTTAAATAGCCCGCAAAAAGTTGATAATCCGTAAAAAACAAATCAATCAATTTTTAACTTCCAATTTTTTCATTCTATCTTTATATTTTTCTTTTCTTTTTACTTTCCAGTTTTTCTTTCTTTTATTTTAAATCCTCTTTTTTATTTTCTAATTCTTTGTTTTTTCTTTTTTTAATTTTTAATTTTCTTTTCCAATTCTTTCTGTCTATATTTTCTTTTCCATTTGCTTCCCTTCCTTTCATTCCCTCTTTTTTTTCTTTTCCTATTTCTTAAATTTATTTATTTATTACGAAATTTACTCCAATTTCTCTTTTTCGCAGTATTCTTTTAGAACCCAACATATTATGACCTTTTACAATGTCCTCAAGCGACGCCCCTATCTTCCATGTTGGTGTGGATGAGAAGAATGGTCTAAATTACTTACATTTAATAATTTATCGATATCGTCAGAAATATCCTTCTACTAATATTTAATATGTGCGATATAAGTTTACTTTAAATTTAAGTCTTAGCAGCAACAATAGTGCGATTCGCTTTTGACCCAACACATTCTATTAGGTAGCTACATAAATTCGTTAATTTTTTATAATTTATTTTAATATTTATTATTTATTAATAGTTCTGATGAATCATTCAACAATGTATTCCGTTTCATTGTCTACGACCTCCTGCCAGTGATCTACTGACTATTCACTGCCGATAGAAATTACTAGGTTTTGGCTTATTTTTTAAGCTCCACATCGTTGTTGAACGAAACACCCCTCAAATCTTTCGAAAGACACCGAAAAAGGTGGTAGTATTGAAGGTTCAAAATCGAGAGAATATTGTGGGTGTGGCAGAACTTCTCAACCAAGCTCTTTCTTAATCAGCGCGTGTAAATCGCTCTCATCAAACTGAACATGTCGATCAGAACGCGGAGAGTCTGTGAGTTCGAATTTCTCTTCCTTGAAACGGGAAAATCATTTCTGTACCATTCTGTCGGTCGGTAATGAAGTCATCTCCGTGTACAGCACAAATGTCTCGATCAGCTTTGATAGGTTTGTGACCTTGATTAAAAGCAATGAGAAGAAGATGTCGAACAGGCTGTTCTTGTCTACTTGGTATTCCATCTCAAAGGGATGTCTAATCTGAAATAAAATTTTTAATAACGTTAGACAACAGATTCACGGGATGACCAGAGTTACTAAGAAGCAAAAACGAAAGATTATTCTTTGAGATTATACGAATCAGAAAAAACGAACAAATATATACCTATATATCGAGTAGAATCACAAGAATAGCCTGATAAATAGACTTTGAGTAGAAAAAGTAATTTTAGAGTAAAAGGCTTATATATGAAAAATGTTAATACACAGGTAAAGAGCTGAACTTGAAATATTTGAATAAGAAAAATAGCTGAATATAAATATTTTCTTTGAAAATTTTAAAAACGGCGCCGTGTGAGAAAAGAGTCAATATTTCAGTTCGTAGTCAATAGAATTTTCATTTCTGAATTGTTTAGTAATTTTTATGTCAAGCCAGTCTACGAGTACTTCTAGTACAATGCAGCCCAGTATTACCGGTCGCATTGTCAGGTCATTGGCGATTAAACCGGTTTCCTTGCCTAACTTTTCTGGTGAGGAGGGTGGCTAGACTCATAGCAAGAGCTGTCAAAGAGCGGATTAAACTTTTTGTAGGGTCAAAACCCACTTCGCAGAATGGGGTAGACTCTCTTTCATAGTGATGTATGCAGCCAGTGAGGTGACGACAGCGGTCACCTGTCCGTGACCAAGGCGACCCTTCAAGTTGAAGGATATCGTCCGTGGTTTGACCTGGAGAGGGACGGGTTTTGCCAGTCTACTTGCAACAAGGCACACTGACTAGTCATGAATACAGATACACAGAGGAACTGGTCAGGTGCTCAGTTTCTCAGCAACTCTGCAAATATGGGACTGATGATGATGATTATTATTATTAATTTAAAATGTCTCTGGATCAGTAACATTCATTTTTGTGACAATGATGTGTGGTAAAAAATAAGGTGAATTTGTTGCTGAGTGATGTGGATCCCTGATAAATCAAATATACATTAGTGGTTGGATGACATACATCATTGAAGATTTTAAAGTACACTGGCGGCTGAGAGTCGTGGATTCCGGAGTATTGTAATGTACATTGATGGTCAGGCCAGGTTTGATTCATATAGCATTCTAACGATGCACAAAAAGACAATTTTTATTGTAACGTACAGTGATGGTTTTATTTTTATTGTAACGTACAGTGATGGTTTTATTTTTATTGTAACGTACAGTGATGGTTTTATTTTTATTGTAACATACAGAGATAATCAGGTCAGGTTGATTCATATAGCATTCTAACGATTCACAAAGAGACAATTTTTATTGTAACGTACAGTGATGGTTTTATTTTTATTGTAACGTACAGAGATGGTCGAGCCAGGTTGATTCATATAGGATTCTAACAATGCACAGAGACAATTTTTATTGTAACGTACAGTAATGGTTTTATTTTTATTGTAACATACAGTGATGGTTTTATTTTTATTGTAACATACAGAGATAATCAGGCCAGGTTGATTCATATAAGATTCTAACGATTCACAAAGAGACAATTTTTATTGTAACGTACAGTGATGGTTTTATTCTTATTGTAACGTACATTCTAACGATGCACAAAGAGACAATTTTCTGAAGTAGACAACTGTGTGCTCTCATGCGATTGGGGATTTTTAAAACCATTTTTTCAGGAAGAAACAATACAGAGCATTTTCAATCAGATTCTTGATTATTTATCGGCAAATAGAGCTTTCTTTTTATTATTTGTAATTCGGGAGTATCTGATGTTACTACCAGTTGTTACAATGGTTAACAACTCAGTATCAAGAAGAATAAAATATAGCAAAGGACAGGTGAATTCCAAGTCAATGGCTAGTTAACTAGGGATAGTGATTCAATAAAAAGACCATGGAGAATGCAATAGAAAATTACTGTCTTTCTCAAGCGTTAGCAAAAAAAATAAATAAATAAATAAAATAAAATAAAGGAAGCTCTGGAAAACTACGATCAGCAACATTTCTTACTACTGATATTATTTACAAAAGATTTACATTTTAAATAGAACCCAGAATCAAGGCAAAATATATTATCCTATCAGATTATATTTTATTTACATTTCCCTAAAACTTTTCCCTCTCTTTTCCACGTATTTCTTTCCTTTTGACTTCCATTCCCTTTCTTTCCCCTCTAACTTTCTCTTCCGTTTCTTGTTTTTCTCCCCCCCACTTTTCTCTCTGACTATTCCTTCGCTTTTCCTTTTCTTTCTTTCTTCTGATTCAGAATTTCCTTCTTTTTTTATCTGTCTTTATTTTCTCACCTTTTCTTTTCCTTTAAATTTTCCCTCCCCTTTTCCAGTCTTTCTTTCTTTAAATCTTTACTTTTCTTTTTAGTTTTTAATTATTTCTTTCTTTCAATTTTCGTTTTCTTTTTTCTAATTCTTTCATTCTTTCTTTCTTTAAATTGTCTTTTTCTTTTTATGTTCCAATCTTTCTTTCTTTCTTTCTTTCTTTCTTTCTTTCTTTCTTTCTTTCTTTCTTTCTTTTCCCTCCTTCCTGAATTTTACCTCCTTTTTCCCTACCTTTATTTCCCTTGTGACTTGTCCCTCCCTTTCTTTCCTTTCTGTCCTTTTCCTCTTTCATTCCCTCTGATTTTTTCCTCTATTTTTTATTTTTCACCCTCTTTATTTCAACTTTTTTTTTTTTAAATTCTCACATCTCACTCTCTCGGGCTCTTCAGTTTAAATCTTTTTAAATCCAGTATTTCCTGTTGAGATTTTTTTTGCAATAACTACCACCAAACAATTTCTTTTTGTTGACAAAAATCAGCAGACGGCTATTTTATCAACGGACATTGACAACCAACGCCCACTGGAAGCGAATCAATCTCTTGCTTTCTGTCAAGGTCAGATTTGCTTCCTCCTAATCTCCATTCGATGCGGCTACTGACATAAAAAAATTTCCAAACTGATTCCATGCCTTTATATTGTTACACAAATTTTCACAAATCTTGTTTTTAGGTTCAATACTAAAAATCCTGATCGAATTTATTCACAAAACATTTCAGTGAATAAGATAAAACTATATTCGTGTAATACAGCAAATTTTATTTATTGGGTTGAAGCATAAATAATTTTCGTTTCCGTTTATCAACTTTATTTTTCATAAATATAATACCATTACATTTTATTCACTTCTATATTCAACATTATTTACATTATCAGGCAGCTCTTCAATACCTTTTAAGTAAAATACCGCAAGCTTTGTTTTAAAAATGTGTTCGGCGACCACTTGAATCATGTTTTCATTAGAGAAAATTTTTCGCCCTGAAAGCATTTTGTAGCGATCGGAAAAGGTAATAAATGATTGGGGCAAGGTCAGGTGAATATGGCTATTAGGGTAGAACAAACCAACCGAGTTCCACATTTTTTTCCTGTGTTATTCTTACCGTATGTGCACTTGAGTTTCCTATTGACAATTGCAGGGTACTTTTTCGATCAAACATTTTATGAGTAAGTTGTACCTGCTGGACGTATAAATTGCACTTTGAGTTCAATCCCTACGTCAGGTAGTGCAAAATATTATATATACTCTGGTTCACTTCTTCATTACGATTTCGCGAATTTTACTTTAGTGATCGTATAGTGCGCCGACCACGAGTATTGTAATAAAAGTAGCAATATGATAGAGAAAAGCTAGTAATAAAAAGTGTTAATAAGTCTTTCTTTATCGACATATTTGATTTTATTTTTGCATTAGTTGATCAGATTGTCTGGGAAAAAAACAAAACAAAAACAAACCCCAGAGTAATTTGTAATCACCATCATCAATATGATTTAATATTTATACACATTTATATTTACTAGCCTCTCTATCAACATTTACTCTTATGTGATCTTACTACTCACGGATGCATTAATTATTCTGTTTAAATGAAAAAAAAAGTTTAGAGATTTTTAAAAATTTATATTCCGCAGCAATAACTAAATATGCGGTTGCGAAAAGATTCAGTCAGTTATGTGTCATGCGTGATACACGCTTAGGCGATCATGTATCTTTCAATACATGACTAACGAATCAGATTTCTTTCTGCGGTAGACTAGTTGCCATTCAAGGCTATAGAACCAGGTCTGTTCTGCTATTTACCCATAGCTGGGGAGAGAAGCAAAGCAGAATCAGCATTTCGCACTAATGTCATTTGGAAAAGCAAGAATTCATCTTT